TAGGGGCTCCTGGCATCGCTCCTAGGAGCAAGACGCTACTAGGGGCTTCTGGCATCGCCACTGAGAGCAAGGACGCTTCAAAAGACTGCCAGGCTGCAGCGGGCAGATCCACGGAGCTCAGTCTGGTAGAGACGGCTGCAAACCACACGGGGTAAGCTGAGGACATCATCCACCTGGAAAACATCAAGGTTGCTCTGACCCCTTACCCTAGCGGTGGCCTCAGCATCCAACTAAAAAACAGGTTCGCTGAAGAACACATCTTCCAAAAGCAAGTGGGCCAAACACATCTCTTAAGTTTTTGTATACATACAGCCAAACACACAAAGGTAAGGTCAAGGTTTGGCATTGTAAATCTCCACCTGTTCATACTTTTTCACAAGTGGTCAATTCCAACCTTCTCCAGCCACCCTGGTGTGCCTTCCAAGCCTTCCTGGTTCCTTTGGACTTTCCCAAACAGTCCTGTGGTTGGAAGTCTGAATACTGTTACTAGAGCTTCTTGTTCCCAATAGGAATGGCCTCCAACCTTTTGGCGGTGGCCTCAACCTACTAGCGATGGCCTCCAACCTAATAGCGATGGCCTGTGAGCTATCCTGCGTCCATATGTAGTAGCGTCCAGCTCGGAGCGAACAAGTTTGTCATTAATTTAAGTAGGCAGTCTCTATTCAATTCAGGAGGCAGGGCAGGGCCACGGGCTTTAAACACACTTATTTATCGCATTATTTCTCCATCCCAAACGGCGAAAGAACGTCTTTGACTCGTGGAGACTGCCTGGGCTTCAATCAACTCTTTTGACTGATCGTCATCTTCTCCTGGAGCGTTTGACTCGTTGGGTCTGTGTGGAGCCGCGGTGAGTGTTTTTGGCTTTTCTATAGCAATGGCCTCCAACCTAAGAGCGATGGCCTCCAACCTCTTGTTGTTCAAAAGCGTTCGTTATGAACGAACGAGCCAAAAGCCATGATCCCTCTTGATCACCTCTTGACTGGTGGTTGTTTCGATTAGTCCCAGTAACCCTCTGGTTTCAGACCCGAAACCACATTTGTCACATGATATGAGTAGTCTATTGAAATCAAACACTCTCACTCTCGCACTCTCTCTCTCTCTCTCTGTTTTCTCCGGTTAGTGTGGTTGCTGAGTCCAACGTCGCTCAGAACTCCCAGTCCTTCACCTTCATCTTCTTTTGGTTGGTGTGTTGAGCTCTCCATCGGCGGGCTTGAAGATAAAGAGATCAACAGCGGCATACAAATACTCCACCTGCACTGCAAGCACCTCTTGCATCAAACTCATTTTCACTTCGTCCTCTGCTTTGCAGAAGGGCTGGTGTCTTTCAAAGGACCTTCATCTACTCATGATATCTACTTTCCCCTATCACTTCTAAATAGTCTTTGGACGCTATTAGGTGGAGGCCATCGCAAGTAGGTTGGAGGCCATTGCCACTGTAGGAACAAGAAGCTACTAGTCCAACCTAATAGCGATGGCCTCCACCTAATAGCGTCCTTGTTACTAGTAGCTTCTTGTTCCTATAGCCAGAGAAAGAACAGAAACAACATCGCTATGGTCGCGAAGCCACTCCAAATACCTCAGAGTGTAGACTGGGCGCGGCCCACCAAAAGCCAAGGGATCAGTGTGCACCCACCTCACCAAGGTGCTGAAAAATCTTTGGGAGTGCAAGCACGCAGCTCGTTTCGCGCATCGTTTGGAATGGTTTTGAATTCCTTAGCCTTTTAGGATCTTGGTACGGCCAAGGCTTGCCAAGGCACGTGTTTCCTGAAACTCCCATCTTGAAGTAGCTCACCGATAGGCAGGAATAGACCTCGACATGCAAACAATAACTACTCCAAATCGTCCACGAATCCATATCAAACTAACGTAAGCTTCTTATTGAAGCTCGTGGAAATGGTGCCCATGCATTTGCTGGGGTGCTCTCCCAAATCAATCAAATGCTAGGCTATGTACTTCTGCTAGCCTAAAAGCAGGCAGGATACGAGCAGCATCGTCTTGGAATCATCACCCTTGACTGCTGGAGACAGCTTCTTTGGGCCTGACCCGACAAAAAGCCGATTCGAATGAGCTCTTGGAACATTGCAAGGAGAAAGGTAAGCCCCGGAAAAGAGAACAACAACACGCATACATGGACTAGAGTTCAAAAGTCTGAAGAAACAACATCAACGAAGAAACCCAACAAAAAAAGGGAAAAAGGCCAGGAAAATGCCTCACACTTTCGAGTGGTTCAAGATATGACACAATTGTTCGTTTGACCAAGGACCTTGGTTCCACTTCGAGCAGCTGTCCAAAAGCTCAACCGCTCAACGGCAACGGCCGCCCTGAAAAAACCGGCATCCGTGCCGGCATATGTCTCTTTCATTCTCTCCGTGCCAAGCCACTGAATTCGATAAACACGGCACAAAGCTCCAAGAGTGCAGCGGTACCGGTCACGATCCCAGCAACCAAGCAAGAAATGTCGACCATTTGACAGGGTGCCTGAGCTGCGAAAAGTCGCTTGGGGCACCCTGATGAGCAGCTCGGAGCTTTCTCCGAACAGTGACAGAAATTGACAAGTCTGACCAATTGAATGCTTTGCACAAAGCATCATAAGATATACAAAAGCTGGGCAAAACAGTCCAAGCCACATCCAGCCATGTCGCTTCAATCTCGTAGAAGTATAGTGCCCAAATTGACATTGCCAGAAGCAACCAGCAAGTGATGTCATTCCATGTTCCTTGCAAGAACGAAAGGTGTCAGAATGGTCAAAAGCAATCACACGAGCTCATAAGAACTGCGCCAAAATGAAGCTTAACCAGGGCTCTGCAAATATCCATCGGGACATTCTTTGCCGAACTCATGACTGAGTCTGCAAATGTCATGGAGTGCACTGACTCCGCAACCATCGCAGAATGGGCTTGGAGAAGCTACCCTATAGCGATGGCCTCCAACCTACAAGCGGGCGATGGCCTCCAACCCGATGCTGGTTTCGAAGCTTGAGAGCGTGACTTGAACTTCTTTGCTTCGTGAGAGGCTTTGGTGCTGGAAGGTTTGCGTAGTCTGAAAGTGCTTGCCTCTTGATCCAAGAGTCACAGCTCAACCAAGAGCGGCTCCAGGAACGCAACGGTTCTACTCTTTGACCCCCCAAAGTAGGTCCAAAGTCCAATGTCCACTTTCTCCACATGGAAGAAACGTGTCTACGAAGCCAAGTCCAAATGATGCCAAATCTCTCAGTATCTCAGAAGTGAAGAAATAAAACTGATACGGTGTCGAACAAATTTTCAACAATACTGATCAGCGTTGCATTTTGACGCCTCAACTGATTCTCCAGCGCCTCCCTGAGCACACCTAGATCAATTCAAGTCTGCACAACCAACCTAATAGCTATGGCCTCCAACCTACTAGCGATGGCCTCCAACCTAAGTAACGATGGCCTCCAGCCTACTAAACCCTAGTGATTGCCGGAGTGTTATGTGTTGTCTTTCAATGCAAGCTGCCAACCCAAAGAAAAATGTTCTTGGCAAAAGGCGCTTCCCAATAAGCATACGTTCTTTAGCCCCCAGTGAGCCTTACCATGCCATTTCTTCCCGAAGCCCAAAAAACACCAGTTTCTGGCAGGTGTGCGCCGCCCATCGCCTTCGGTGTCTCTCTTTGAGGAAGCTCGCGACAGTAAACTGACCTGAAACAAACCGTCAGGACTGTCAGGCTGTCTGCCTTCATGTCGAGCCGAGCTCTGTCTCATCAGTGTCTGAAAGTCAATCTCCAAGGCGCGTTGAACACACGTCCATACTCTTCTGAAAGCCATGCCTGCAACCCATATATCAAATGCCGAGTCCCCTATAGCCTATAGCCCTTGACAATCCTTGATCCAATGGATATATAAGTTTGAAGGAAAACCTGCAATTTTTTCCCTAGACCAAATCTGGGATTGATTCATGCGTGGAATTGAGTCGCTAGCAACAGCAGTTTCACAAGGACAGTGAAGATTCCGTTGTTTTCCATGAGTGGCTGGGACAAGACTCAAACTCATGTTATGCAAACCGTGTCAATCTCAAGCATGCTGCAACACCTTTCCCAAAAAAAACAAAGAAACCGTGACAGCCACTGCTCCAAGCACAGGACTATAACAATTGACGACCGCATCCAGCCCCTGCAGCCCTGTACAAAACTGAGCGCACCTGATGTTTGTTGAAACCCAAGGCTGTCAATGGAGTTCCTTGCCCAGTCCGCGCGATGTCGTGGCATACGAATCGGCGAAATCGCAGTCCTCTGGTCATCGTCACCGCTGAGCTTGAAGACTTCTGTTCCCAAAAGACTGGGGCGCTGCCTCTGACCTGGCTGGGAAGGTGGGGGGTCTGGGCTCTTCTCGCCTAAGGCCGTCCAAGAAAGGTGTAAGGATGTGATGGCCGTTAACCAAGAGGAGTTTCAAAGAAGCCGTTCACCTACTGGCGATGGCCTCCACCTAAGGATGTGAAAAGGTAATGACCCACATGGACCCACATCCAAAATTGATCGGACAATGATGATCACTTTCCAAAAAGAACATGAAACCAACTGGGATATCTATAATACACCATGGTGCGGGGCGACAAAGCGCCAGTCAGTGACCAAACCCTGCAATTCAGTAATGCAGGTCGCCCGGATTCAAAACAGAATCGTTTTGCACTGGCAACTGCCCGACAAAATTGACAAAGCTTTTGGAATAGACTAATGGCAACCAACAAGTCCACACATATAGTAGTTAGAAGATGCAAGATGCGTTCTTGTGGTGCCCCATCGATGCCCCCAAAATCAACAATCACACAACCCCATCTGGGTGTATCACAATTCGGGAAGGGGGGCGGCATGCAAAACAAAAGGGCAAAGGAAAGCACACACTCACACATGCTGGTGGCTCGATCCTCAATCTATCTCTGGCAGCGTTGACATTTTGGCTCAGTTCCTGTGGTATCGGCAAAAGCTGGAAAGGAGAGTATGCCTGGCCTGTGTCAAAGAGAGCCAGTGCATGCCAGGCAATTTTGCCAACATCTCTGTCTCCACCCAATTCGCAGCCTGGTGGATGACTGGCCACGCCGTGCTACCGCTTCTACTCCCAGCACTATCACTACCAGCACCTACCAGGTTGGAGGCCATCGCTCTTAGGTTGGAGGCCATCGCTACCAAGGTTGGAGGCCTCGCTCTTACCCCTCAATTCCTCGGCATGATCGTCTAATCCTCGCGCATTGTATCGTGTTCCAGCATGTCGCCGGCTCCTCGACTGCAGGAAGCAATTGGAACCCGAGTGAAACTAAGTGAAGGCTAGCTTTTGGTCTTGCGGACTTTGCTGTTTGAATCTCCTGCGTGCCCACAGCACCAAAAGTATCTTTCCATCTCGGCCAGGCAAGTCTTGACATTGAAGAAATCCTGCGCCGTCTTGACCCAAAGCGTCATTTCGATCCATGTCCATATTCTGTGCAGCTGGGGATGCTAATATGACATGATATGAAATGTCTTCTCTGGGCTGCAAAAACCTTCGACACTACTTCTTGCCAATAATAGACCATGGACATTGTAGAGAGATGCAGAATTTATAAAAGTAGAATGCAAGGCTCAAATGAAACTGCAGATCCAGGTCCAGGCTCACCAGTAGCCCGAAGCTGGAAACGAAATAAGGAGGTGGAAGATCAAAATCGAAGAGCTGGAAACGAAATAAGGAGGTGGAAGATCAAAATCGAAGACATGCCTACATGCCATGCTCCTACATGCCATGCTCTTTGTCTGGTTTGAGGGGTCTGGGTCATTCTGGGTCCCTGTATAGTTGGCGCAGCTTTGGTCCGAAGCTACGAACCTTTCGAAAGTGCGAGCGCTTCTACCGTCGAAAGCTCCGAGCTTCCCTGAAGAAGCACTGCTTCTTCCAGTCCTGCGTGCAGTGGGTAGTAGCTTACTTAGCCCTTAATTCTGGCACCTTATATAAGTAAAATAGGCTATAGGGGGGCCGGGCCTCGGGCTGAAAAAACACAACATGAATCAAGTGGCCCTGACCGCCCTGAACTCCAAAACGCAGCACGTCCCCAGGCACCTTGCATGACCTTGGACAAAGAACTGTCGAGTTCCTAAATCCCCTGACCGAAGTGTAGGCGGTAGCAACGGCCTCCAACCTACTAGCAAAATATATTTTTATATAGACTGTTTTATAGACCTTTCTTCCTTTTCCTTTTTCTTTGTCTCTACTAGCGATGGCCTCCAACCTACTAGCGATGGCCTCCAACCTAAAATCAAACAAGATCTATCAACCTGGCTAACAAGACTGCTTCCTCGATCACCCTTCTCATCCCTTCTCTAAAGACCCTATTTGCCGAGCGGCAGGTGTGAACCATCTTTCTCCAATGCCCTGACCCAGAAGAGATGTACAAAGGCCGCTGTTCCACACAAAACGCGGATCCGCGGCTGACCTTCACAAAGAATCACAAAGATGGGAGCTGCTTTTGCAGCTCCAGCAACATCAACGGAGACTTTTCTTGCCATGTTTGCCAATCTCTTTGTCCAAGCTGCAATACGTGGTGATGCAGCTGGCTGGCTTGCACCTCAGCAAGTTCAATGCACATGCCGAAAATAAGGATGCCAGACTCAACGCCCCCTAAGAGCGCGGACAAGGAGCAGTTACTCTCCGTTGAAGCCGGCGTGTAATGTCGAAATCATGAGAGAAGTAGAAATGATCCTCAAGCAAAGTGAGAACCTGGGCTCTCTGCCGGCTCAGTGTCTCTGGTGCGGCGCGCACATGCTTGACGACGTATCTCCACAGCCCAACAACCCAAGGTCTTAGTGAGCTCTCTCTCTCTCTCTCTTTTTGTTTTCAGGGATGCTTCCCTACCAGCTTGATGTCTAAGGACCATTGTCATCATCCCCAGGTTCGTCTTGCCCCCTCTCTCCGATACGGCTTTCAGTTAGTTTCAGGACCCGGCTTCTCTTTGGTTCCTAATGAGGTGAGGTGCAGCTAGTGCCAGGCCCATGCACCTACGTATCTCGATGTTCGATTCCATCCTGTCTCCCACTCCCATGAGCTGCTTGTTCCCAAAGGCCCGCAACACTCCATGCAATGGAATATCGGAATATCATCTATCGCTGGTTTGTTCTTTCCAATGTAGTTTGCTATTAGGTTGAAGGCCAGTGCTACTAGAAACAAAGAAACAGAAAAGGAAGAAAGGTCTAATATCGTTTCAATCCAGCTCACTACCGTTTTTCCATGGCTTTCTCCCCCTCTCTGGTAAATTCAGCATCAGGAATCCACGCATCTCGCAATCTCGCACCTCTCCTCCTTGTTTTTGTTGCGAATCGCGGCGTGGATTCTTCACCATCCCAAAGACCTAGTGTATCTCCCAACATCTGAATCTAGAGCCTATTAGCCTCTGTCACTAGCAACCATACCCTCTGTGGTGTGATGAAGGCACCCCAGCAAGAGCATCTCTGGCTTCACCTCAGCCCACGTAACATGACACAAGCTTCAATAGAAGTAATAAGATGCAATAGGGCAGCAACGCGCCAACGTGTGTCCATGGTTTAAAACAACAAAACTACACAAAGCGTTTACCCAAGCGGCCGCTGCTGGTTTCGCCAGCGAAAGGGATGGCTTGGGCCTTTTGCACTCGGAAGGCTCGTTGGTCATCCAGCTCCTGGGTGTCAACGAGGACACTTGTTCCATGTCATTTTTGGACCACTCTCTTAATGTTATATATTCTTCAGTCTAGCCTTTTTAATGTGGACCACATTTTTGATGTCGTCAAAGGCTGAGAGCTAACCGTAGCAAGGCTTTAGCAAGGTGGACTAGTAGCGTCCTTGTTACTAGTAGCTTCTTGTTGCTAGTAGTAAGGCCAGGAGCTACTAGTAGCGTCCTTGCTCCTAGTAGTACTGGTGGCCAAGGTACTCGTTGGCTAACCACAAATGCCAACGACGAAAACATGTTCGAATTCGCTGTGTATAATCGCTTTGATGCCACGGATCAATCTGCTCCGCCTCTATGACCACTAGCAAGAAGTACTCCTTCAAGCCATACATGCATTTACTACAAAAACTGCAGTTCATTCTAGTAGGTTGGAGGCCATCGCTTCGTCTATGGTGCCGAAAAACAAAAACGCTGGGTGCTGTGCTGGTCACACGGATTCCGCATCTCCGGCTGAAGTCCTGATGAATTGTTATCAACCCCAATACTGCAAGGCAGGCTTCCGGTTCCCCGGCTGCCCTCGGCCGAACCAAACGAGGCAAACCATGCAGCGTCCGCCATGCAGCAACAATTGGAGATGCTGAACTGTTCAGAAAGGCAACAAACTGTAGAAGTGGTCTGAACCATGATTATATAAATGGTGCAAAGGCTCAAATCAACCAGCTTCTGCTGAAGACCTTCAGAAGTGTCCTTCAGGCAGCGGCTTGGTTAGCAACACCGTACGGCTGTTTAAACCATGCAAGACGCTGCGGTCCTTCCCTTCTCGCGCCACGCCAGTTTTACTAATACCCAAGAACCTCGGGAGAAAATTGTTGCATGTTACAAATGGCGGCTGCTGCCACTTTAGACAGCAGGAACCTTCGTTTAGAAAAAGCAGCACAAGCAAGTGCCCCACCCAACCATCGCTCATCTGACAAAGTACTTACAGTGATCCTGTAAACTTCTTGTTCCACTGCTTTCTCCCCAGAGTCCCTCTATGCCCCAGCAGCTCATGATCTTGCGGTGCTGGTCTGGAATCCTTAGGCGGAAATCAGCAAGCGTTGTCAGAGCCAGAAGCAACGCAACGACAAACGAGACTGCCATGCAGCCATGCCAACTCAACGAGCTGCCATGCTTTTAAACACAATACACTGCCGGCCCCCTGCTAGCCGGTCTGGGTTCTCTGACAAAACCTTTGACAAATGTACACACATATATGATATGTATCCTACACCCACACGCACATGGTTCAACATCTATGCTTTGAAAGGCCCTAGCCCAAGGCCTAAGATGTGGAATACCCTGCGTTGCTTACAGCCATGTGGAGGGTTTGGAAGCTCCGGACCACTTGTCGTTCAAATATATACATCATCGAGATTCAGGATGGTCTCGGACCACCAGCAATGATCGAGCCGAATGGACCAGCCAGCGCGAAGGCGAAGGCCGCGAGCGCATGACACCCGGCCGAGACGCATCCATGGCAAAGAGGGACAGCAAGGGGAGAAGGAAAGGTCTGCTAAACATGCTGAGTTGCCGGCTGCATATGCCTATAGGCATATGCCGTCATATGCCTTTCAGCTTCCTTTTGTGTACAGCGTATGTGTTCATTCACGGAATCATTATTGGAAACCATTCATGTTGCAGATGTGGCAGGCTAGCATTGTCTGATTTGCGAAAGAGCCACATCTTCAGCATTACTACTAGATACTACTAGTAACAAGAAGCTACTAGTAACAAAGGGCATCGCTACTAGGAGCAAGGACACTACTAGTAGCTCCTATACTACTAGGAGCAAGACGCTATTAGCAACAAAGGCCTGGCCATCTGTGCAGCTTGCCGTCCAGTCGTAAGCTCATTTAGAAAGAGCATATTCCATCACCCATTGACCCCGTTTTTCAAAGTGCATACATGAATGCCCATTAGGTTGGAGGCCATCGCTTCTGCATGGATGCCCTATGACAATGACCGAGCTTCGACGCTTCTCGACCGCCTTTCGGCCTGGCGGCGTGCGAACCCCCTCTCCTGGGTACCAAACTTTTTGTGCGTCGCCTCGCAACATCGACTGGAGGGGATGGGGATGGGAATGGAAAACACTTAGGACATCTTTGGAGATGACATGAAGAGCAAATTGAGCGTTGAAGGCTTGAAGGTCGACTTCAGGACTTTGTTTCAACTTCTTCATCTGAGAGCTTCACCACCCCCCCAGCCTTCCCTTAGTGACGACGGTGGAGCTGTGCGAAAGCTGTGAGCAACTAGGCAAAGATTTGAGCATTCTGCTTTGTCTTCGTCCTCTTTACACGAGCCCATTCTACAAGGCAGTCTAGGTCTGGCATGCCTCAGCCCAAATATAAGCACTATTTTACTGTCAACAAAAGCCTCGTGATGAACAGCTAGCAGCATAGGCGACCTGGCTATCCAAACCTTCTACACCTAAAGCCTCCAAGAAACCTTTTTGCAGCCAAACAACCTTGTTTTGACATTGACCACTGCTAACACTGCTATTCGGTCTTCCATCCCTTGTGCCACCCAGGTGCCGCTCAGCAGTGACTCGCGCTGCTTCCAACAGTGCCATTGCTTCGTTGGGACGCAGCAGGTCCTCAAACTCAACGACCTCAAAGACTTGGACAGGAACAAGAAGCTACTAGGGGCTCCTGGCCTTACTGCTAGTAGCATTCTTACTACTAGTAACAAGGGAATCGTACTACTACGTCAAAGACTTGGACCGGAATCTTTTCGCTAGTAGGATGGAGGCCATCGCTAGTAGGTTGGAGGCCATCGCT